TTTTTTTTAAAAAAAAATATATATATATATATATATATATATATATAAAGAGAGAGAATGTAGGTTAGAAATTTTTGTTTTATGTGACTCATTTGTGCATTTCTCGAAATTCATGTTGTCTCCTTATGAGCAGGTAAATTTTTCATTTTTACTCGTGCAACAATTCAGGCAATATGAGTGTCTAATCTAGGTACAAGTGATCTACAATTCGAGGGGTAGATCGGCTCTCCCACAAACCCTAGATGCTGCTAGGAAAACTCACAAGAAAGAAACTACATCAAAAAATAATTTGCATAATTTGAAGATAATACATAACCTTAAATAGGCTCCTCTACTTCCCTCCTATATCAACCTCTTTTTCTTAATTAATTCTCTCTTGATTTTGAACTTTCCCTAAATATTCCCCTCCCATGTATCATTAAAACCTTTCTATTTATGTTTCCATAGATTTCTTCTCAATTTTGAACTCTTTCCCAAAATAATTCCCTCCCAATTATCATAAAGACCTTTCTAATTATCTCTCCCTGAATTTCTCCTCTCTTGGGCCCCACAAGGGGAGTCAAATCCTCCCTGCACATAATAGAATCTTTGCTGCACGTAATATAAGACTTCGTACATCAGCCCTTAAATTTCTGCAATCCCTGAAGCAGTAGGAGCCTTGTGCACTTTATATGCTCCTTGGATGTATGTTTAATTAAAGGCTAAATTGTTATATTTAAGATGTATGAGCTTTATTGATTTAGGTAATGAGCCCATTGAAGACTCCTGTCTGGCGCTTGAGAAGGTACTGGATTGTGTTACAGCTTGTATACTTGTGGCTAGACTTGAGGATGTCCTCAAAGAAACGGGAAGAGTCATTCATATCCTTAAATGTGCCATGCTACCTGTATTTAATTGGACTGGTACTCTCCTACTGTGGTTTATTTCGAATGTTAGATTGCTTGTGGCTGCAAAAGCAAGTGTGACTTCTGATGCTTATGTATTTGGGATTGTGTGCAGTCAAATTGTCAGTTTTATCGGCAGCTAAAGAGCTTTGTTTGAAACTGCAATGCTGTCTGGATAAAACAGCTGCTTCTAATGATATATCATATTTGATTTATGAGGTATTATCATTATATATATAACACTTTCTTTCTTCCAACTAATATCTGCTCTCACCTTGGTATCATGTATTTTAGTTGTTCCATTCTTTGGCTCCAAAGTTAGTTGAAGCAATTCGCACTGTGAAGATTGCCCAGGTATCTAATCCACCATAATTTTGCTAATTTTCTTTGCACTTGTTTTTTCTTTATTTCTTCTCATCCAAATATATTCTGAAATTTTGGAATTACCAGCACTGTGTTAGAAGGTTTATATATATATATATATATATATATCAACCCCCCCAAATATATATATATATATCAATTACATAATTGTTTCCTTGTATGTTATAGTTCCCTTATCTTTTTTGATGCATTCTATATTTCTATTGCATTACGTACGTGGACCTTCAAGTTATGAGCATTAACTAAATACACCAAATAGTTTCTTTTATAGATTGTTTTTCTACGAAGCGAGGTTAATCGATGCAGCACTAAGACAAAAGCCGAGGATAAGATAACAAACTATGACACTGTATCAAGATCTTGGTAATTCATCATGCACAAGTCTCCGTGCAAGCTTGTAGATGATTCATAATTACTTAAAAATTATTAGAGAAAAAGTTAGAAGTTTAATTTGAAGTCCCTTAATGAGTTGGTTGGTTATACTAGTCAAGGAAGCAAAAAAGTCATGAAATATTGCTAAAATTTAGAGCCATCGTATTTACCTTATATGACCAATTCGAATCTTCATGTTTTTGGAATTTTTAACTTTTGTTTTACTTCTTTTTTTTTCTTTTTTTCTTTATATTATGATAAGTTATCATTCCATATAATAATGCTAATATAATTGCACGTCAATAACACTGTCGTTGCCAGGTCCCAAGTCCTTGATGAGAAAAGTGGAGGGTTGTGTTAGGTAGTCGACAGCCAGCGTAAAACTTGTCGAACAATAATGATATGAATCCTTTAAGAAATTGTGTTATTCATGTAGCCGACCCCACGTAGTGGGATAAAGGCTTGTTGTTGTTGTTGTTGTTGTTGTTGTTGTAGAATAATATTATCAAATTTTAAATCCAAATTATTTATTTATTTTTTCAATTTTTTCAAATTTATAAATATGATATAATTTAAGGGTCTCATCGGGGCGGTTGTTGTTTTTATAAAAATAATTGTGAAGTAATTATAGGGAAAGTAACCTTTTGGAAAGCTACTTTGGATATTGTGGATATCTTTTTTTTTATAAGTCGGACTGTAGCTTTCTTATGACTCTGACATATTAATAGATCTATTTAAAAAGAGTAACTTCCCACCACAAAAATGCCTACAATGCAATAAGAAAGCACTTGCCAAACAAAAGTGTGGTTATGATCTAAAAAGTAGAGCAATTAGAAAGTCATCCCAAGGCCCTAGGTATTTGTTATGTTTCAAGAGAAGTTTGATTTAGAGATTTAGAGGTAAAAAATGAAAGATAATAAGTAGAAATATAATGTGAACGAATAATAAATTATCATACAAATCTAGTAATTTTATTATAAAATTATCTATATATATTTTATAAAAGTATATATTAAAATTAAAATAGATTTATTCATACATTCTCTAATTTAATCAATTGAGCATATTACTTGCTAATTTTTATTTAATGGTATTTTGTGCTTTTGTATACCTTATATTAGTTTATCTTAAATTTAAATGTAGAGCATTCTCTCATATTCATTTAAGTGTTTCATAACTTTTTTATATTCTTATGTATTTTTTCCTTGCAAGTATATAACTATTATTTTTTTTTTTGTGTCATAGATGTAAGATATTTTTTTAAATTAATTTAATTTAATAAAGGAAAGCAACCATTAGATCGATTTGTCATCGAATTATAGGCGGATTCGGCTTGGCCAGAGCTTGTTCTCATTGTTTGGGATGATTTTGCACCAAGCACTTAAGCATGTTGCCTAATGTGTTGTTCACCACTTTTGCTTGTGGAACTGCAGGTTTTAGGCTTAGCTAAGATTAATTTCAGTACGCAATCATTTTCATAATTCTCATCAAAAGTGGCTTATATACTTTACATCCTGGTCGAAGGTTATGCTATGAGGGACACTATGGTGCCAAACAATTTCTTTACAAAAATAAGCGAGCAACATGAATGACATCAAAGATTTTTTTGCAAGCTAGAAAGTGAGTCATCTTTGAAAATCAATCTATATCCACAATAATCGAATCAACATCTCATCTAGTTCTCGGCAAGACCAAAACAAAATTGATACTTATTTTATCCCATATGGAATAACATACTAGTAGAGGGGCATATTGACTAGTTCGCATAAATTTGTGGCAAACAACACACCTCTCAATAAATCGAGAAGCGTCATGCTGCAATTTTGGTTAATAGAACTTGGATAGGGGCTATAATTGAGTTTTCTCACAACCCAAATGGGTTGTCAGGCCACATCTGTGACTTCCTTAATAAGTTGTAACTTCCTTAATAAGTTGATGTCTCCATGAGGAGTCTGGGATGCATAACAAGCTCCCTTTAAATTAAAATCTGAGTAATCGGCAACTGGTTGGGCTATTGTACATTGCTTCCATATGTTGGCAAAATCCTTATCAGAGTGATATACTCCTCGAGACATTCTAAGCCAGTTATTTCAGTTTGAAGTTGGGTTAATAATGCATTTGTCCTCCTAAGGGCATCTGCCACTCTATTTTGGGTACCTGAGTTTCATCACAAATGAGAATTTTTGTAGAAAAAGGGCCCATCTTGCATGCATTTAATTGATGTGCTTTTGGCTATCAATGAACTGAAGTTCATGGTGGTTGTTGCACAACACAAAGTCCTAATGTAAGTCCAATTATCCAATAATACATCCATTATGACAATCACATGCTTTGAACCATGCATCTATTGCTTTCAATTGAAAAAAAGAATCCTAAAGTTTTGGATAGTTTCCCATGTTTGTAGGAGTGTGATAGGAAACTGTTGACCTCTAAGTATTAACCAGTAAAAAAAAATCAAAATACTTGTAAACCATCGGATCCACGAATTCTGCCGCGAATTCGGCTGAAATCGGCGTTGAATAGGTCATCTCCCGCGATTCCTGCATGAATCCCGCCTCGGTTCTTCTCCACTCGTGTCGTTAAATACCGGACCAAATGAAGCCGTTGGGTGCTCTTCCCCATCGCAAGACTCTGCTCTCCCACTTCCACATACACGAAAATTCTGCTTCTCACTCGCTGCTCCCGTTCTCCACAAACCTCCTTGTCCGACCACAGCTCCAGGCCGAACCCGAAGAAGGCCACAATCCGACACCTACCTCTCTCGCAAGCCTCTCCCGACCCTTTTATTTCTCCAATCCATAAAGAGAGAGAGAGAGAGAGAGAGAGAGAGAGAGAGAGAAGCAGAGACTTACCTCCTCCAATTTCAAGCCCCTAATCCAACCTCTGCCCTAGCCAGAGACTTCCACCTCCTTCCACGACATACCCCTCTTGTCGGTTCGGAAGTTAGACATTTTGATCGGAAGTTACAACTGGAGCTTGCTCTTTGTGAAGGTAACTCTCCCCTTCACATGCCTCTTCAGCCAAATTCCTTAAAGCCGCCGAACCAAGGGATTTAATGAAGGTAAATAAAAGGAAACAGAGGATTTGCTCTGCCATGGAATTTATCGGGATTTAGCCTAAATCCTGTATAAATCCTGCTTAATCATGTATTGCTTATGTTTAATTAATTTATGATTAATTTAGGATTGAATATAATTAATTATATATTAAATATAATTAATTATATATTAAATATAATTAATTATATATTAAATATAATTAATTATATATATATATTTTAAAATTAATTATAAATTAAACTTCATTAATTTGTAATTAATTTTAAATTAAACATAATCAGTTGTATCTACAACTAATTATATTTAATTTGTCATTAGTTATAAATTAATATGTTGCTCCCCCAAGCCAACGCCGACGGCCGCGAAGGTATAAACTCTCTAACCCTAAAAACTCCGAGAACTCGTTTCAACGCATCCGTCGAGACA